CGTTGGAAACAAAAAGCAACTCCTTCAAAGTGTGAGAATCACGCAACTCTAGTAGAAGCGGCCTTTGACGATGGTGGCCAACACTCCATTCGACGGCTTTACGGATTTGTAAAATTTGTGATCAGATTTGTAAAAAGAAGTGGTTTCATTTATCATTTGAAAGGAAACATTCCATAAAAACTTTTTCTTTGCCTTCCCAATATTTTCCAATGATACATTTCACTGATAGATCAATTTATGGCGAAGAAACTATATATTTCAATATCCATTTATATTACAGTCTTTATATATAATTTTTTCAAATTTTTTCAGCATGAACAAACTGCGGTACGCTAGGTTTCCTACTCAATAGAAGTTTGGGTTTGCTCAAATTTGGTTATACGGCCAACACGAGGTGAACAACCAACAGGCAAAGTAGATACTTTTAGAATCAAGTTAAATTACACTAAGAGGGAGCCTTTATTCAACAGTAAGTTAAGGGCGTGTTCGGTAGATATTAAAATTAGATTAAAATTGAAAAGCTAGCCGTTATTGTTGACTTTTATTAGATGAGTGAGACTCAATAACGGCTATAATTTCAATTTTAATTGGATTTTAAGCTTAACCAAACATGCTCTACAACTCTACTCCTCGCAGGGATCTAGCTGTATACGGCCTCCTGATTCATCCTGAAGAAACTCGAGGAGTTCTAATATCATCGTTCTCTAAGTTTTCCAAAGATTCTTGCTCACAGCTAGATATCTAAAGCTGGACACCCCTCTAAAAGGTCATACGAAATTATTTTCTTTCGAATTAGCTTAGTACAAATTCTAACAAGTTTGTCACACTAACTAATTTAGTTGACTAGTCTTCCATATATACATACCCGATGGGACTGAAGTCCCTGTTTGGTGTGGATTTTACTCTTGCTAAAAATTTAAGTCAAAGTCAAAATTTACTCGTAATCGCACATCTCATGGATCTACAACTTTTCAACCGTATATTTCCTCAATTTTTATCGAAATCTACTAAAAGATTGATTTTTAGCTATATCAGAAAGGGTTTAAATTTCATAACTCGTGGTATCCCATAGTCTAGCAATTCATAGCATTCGTCATGTATGGTATCATCAAGATATTTGACTTGGGACACGCTTTGATTTGAAGCCTAACAAAAGAACCATTCTTAAAGTTTCAGTATAGAACTGATGTACATTCCATCCATCAACTTTACTTGTAAGAAACACACCATAGGGAACCTATATAAATCCCTCATTGGCTTCCTTGTTTCCCATCTTCATCGATCAATATTTCTTTCCTTCTGATTTCTATAAATTAATGGCTCTCCCTTCCTTTTTAATGATATTGTTTCTTGCATGTCTCTTGCTGTTCTCTACCTGCAAAGCATCTTCTCGCGATTTCTCTATTGTGGGTTATTCCCCGGATGATTTGAAGAGCATTGATAGTCTCATTTCTCTCTTCGAATCATGGATTGAGAAACACAGTAAGAATTATGAAAGCATTGAAGAGAAGTTGCACAGGTTCGAGATTTTCAAAGACAACCTTAAACACATCGACGAGAGGAATAAGAACATCCATAACTACTGGCTCGGTTTGAACGAGTTTACAGATTTGAGTCATGAAGAGTTTAAGAATATGTATCTTGGGCTCAAGACTGATTCATTGCCTCAGCGAAATGAGTCCCGTGAACAGTTCAAGTACAGAGATTTCATGGATTTGCCCGTATCCGTCGACTGGAGAAAGGAAGGGGCAGTAACACGTGTCAAGAACCAAGGTTCATGTGGTAAGTACCTAAAACTTGTTGCACAATGCATATGCAAAACTCAGTCTTCAGAAATTAATGACTAACTTGAATGATCATTGTGTATGCAGGCAGCTGCTGGGCATTTTCGACAGTAGCTGCAATTGAGGGCATAAACCAAATTGTAACAGGAGATTTAACTGAATTGTCTGAACAAGAGTTGATTGACTGTGACACTACATATAACAATGGCTGCAGTGGAGGTTTAATGGATTATGCATTTGCCTTTGTTGTTTCTAGTGGAGGGCTCCATATGGAAGAAGACTATCCCTATCTGATGGAAGAAGGAACATGTGAAAAGAATAGGGTAAGGGAGAAAAGCCTTCTATCATAATACTACTACGTTATAAACACTAATATATACATTTTGCACTTGCCGCTACACATTTATCATGAGCTTTTTCCTCACATGTTCGCCTTATCACACTGAGAAGAACATCCTATTAGATTCATTTATGTAACATATTAAACTACCATGACCTAATACAAAATATGAATGCCCGATATACCCCTAAAATAAAAGAAATGAACAGAACAATTAGGTTCCACATAGTTCAACACAATAATCTTTCAGCAATTGGTTTCAGGATGAATCAGAAGTGGTCACAATTAGTGGTTACCATGATGTACCGAGGAACGATGAACAAAGTCTATTGAAAGCACTTGCAAACCAGCCTGTGAGCTTGGCCATTGAGGCTTCTGGTAGAGATTTTCAATTCTACAAAGGGGGTGTATTTGATGGGCACTGTGGAACTGAGCTTGATCACGGAGTGGCAGCCGTTGGATATGGATCAACAAATAGTCTGGATTACATTATAGTAAAGAACTCATGGGGACCAAAATGGGGAGAGAAAGGGTACATAAGGATGAAGAGAAACACCGGGAAGTCTGAAGGGCTTTGTGGCATCAACAAAATAGCCTCCTTTCCCACCAAAACTATGTAATTTATTTAGTCAGTCCTGTTTTCCTCGCTGTCTGTTTTCTATTTCCTGTATTTTTGTTTGTGTAATTTTATTGTATAAGAAATAAGGACAGCTAAATCTTACTGTATACAGGTCTCTAAAGCCAACTTCTAAACAAAATATATTACCAAATTTCAATTACAAATAAATTAGACATGACTACTAAATCAGATTGAAGATGCCACCACCGAGGCAGCAATATTTGAGTATGATTCGATTGAAACTCCTTCCAAAGAAATGCAGGGTGAAACTGCTAGGCTTGCAAAAGTATAGTTTGCTAAAGAAAAATAATTAAGCAATCTTAGCAAACTTATGAATGTGGCTGCAAGCGATGATACCAATTTTCACACACCTCCAGATGCAACACGAGGCGCTCTTTGTTTTAGTACCACAACCTCCAGGATGCCATCTGGTCGAAAACTCGGCGAAAATAATCTGGGGTCCACTGGTCCAGGCAAATTGAAAGATATGGTGAAAGGACCTGCTGGGCAGAGTTGATGAAGTTTCAATTCAAATTCCTCAGATTCATTTTTCAAAATTTGAGCATCTGCAACAACCCCCTCTATGCGCACACTTCCGTCTGAATGTATATCACACTTCAAATTACCTGATATGAGAACCATTGTGTTGGAATTTGTTCGGCTTTGTACTTTGGCTAGAGTATGCTTGTGTGACAGAGAAGAAAGAAATTAGATACTTATTGTTACTACTCTTGACACCGGGAAGGGCAACACGGAAAAGATAGCCACCTTCACTTTCTCCTATGTCAATAAGACCGAGAGGTGGTCCAATTGCACCTTCTTTAGCAGTTCCATTCAAAGATACAGCCAGTTTCAATTTTGGAGATGCAGTGTTCTGTTCTGGATACATGCTTTCTGGAAATAGAATTATTATTGCCCAAGAAATCCTGGCTTCCTGCACTTTACATGAGAATCCAGATGAGTGCATTACATATGGACAAGGATTAGAAATGGGTTGTGCTTGTTTATTTGGAAAAATGCCTACATCTATAAGAATTTCAGAAAAAACATAAATTAACGATATTATGTATGGGAAGAATTTATAAACGGTTTAAAAATCCCAACCATACCTTCATAACTCCTACTCATTATTATCCACACATTTTGTGGGATCCACTACTATTCCTCTCTATAAACCATTTATAAATTTGAAAAAAGGAGACCATATCAGCAACATGTAAGCAATTAAGGGGAAAACATTATTAAATTACCTAAGTTGAAGCTTCGCACTTGCCTTCCATAACTTGTCCCACTTTAGTTCTCATTAGTTATCTTTAAAAAAAGTGTGAATTAATCAATGTTTATATTATAGCCACCAACATTCTTCCTTGCATTGTTGGAGTCGGTCAACCAACTTAGTCAACGCGAGTAGTTGACTGAACAACCCTCGCTTTATTAGGAGGGAAAGGTTAATTTATGATACATTTATACATTGGAAATTACTAAAACCATAAAATTAAATAAGGTTGGAAAATACTCACTCTAATTTGTTTTGATTGCCAAACTCTCTGTCAAGATATTCCAAGATAATAACTATTTAAGTAGGATATTTTCCCGCTCTTATTCCAAAAATACTTTCGAAAAAGCTCATAGTTATCTTCTCGGTTCCACTTGCACCGACTTCCACTCTCGCCAACTCCATGAGGAACCACATGAGGACACTCCTACTTCTAATTAC